AGGAATGCCTCACAGAAGTTTTGGTGGGAGGACAGCAGAGAAGCAATGCGAAAACCTGGCCGCCTACCATGATGCCGTTGTGGATGAAGCCACGGCGGTAGCGAGCAGGTTTCAGGTGGGGATACTCCTCCGTGCTTGTGACTTTGATTGACCAAACCTGTTTCCAAGCTTCGTACAACTGCACATGGACAGGGTACACGCCCGAGTGGTGGGGAGCCACTGCGTAGCCCATATCAGTGGGGATGCCATGTTCCTGCACAGACAAAAAGCAGCAGGTGACCAGAGAGAACCCAGAACCTGCAACTTCCCAGCTCAATCCAGACACCCCCAAGAATGGTCTGCTCCCAACTACAGATAGTGTCTTCATGTCTCTGGACAGCAACCAGGGCAGAGCTGTGTCTGGGTATCCTCTCCTTACTGGGATTGTCTCTAGAGAGGGGATCCCAGGACCAGATGGACGTGGGCTGAGTGGACATTTGCTCCTCTGTTCCACTTCAACCATACTCACCCCTACCATTTTGCTGTCATTTTGATGTCCAAACAACAGTAAAGCTTTTGTCAAAGATTAGGTTAATATATCTGTATAGGACCATAAATAGATTCATATCTGTAGATGCAAAACACACTGGAAAGTCCGATCTGGACATCTGCCTGTATCTTCCAGCACAAGTAGGAATGGTCCAGTCTATCTCTTGTTAAGGAACTCCACTTAACAGGCAATTAATTCAGGACAGCCTGATAATCCACCTTTTAGTCTGTGGACCTGATTTATTATTGCTGGCCTGACATTACTGTGGTTGGATGCAAGGTGTGAGCAATCAGTCAGTCACAGCACTATTTGGAGTTAAGGATGGCTTTACCCAGGCTAAAAGAGGACTGATGATACCTAACCAGAGATAAAATCTGCCCTTATAAAACCGGTCCCTCCACAACTTGACCTGCAGAGGGAGCTTTTATCAACCAGAGCTTCACAGCCGCAGCGTTTCCAACTCAGCTCCACCACCCTGCAGCAGCCAGCTCCAGTGCAGTATCAAACCACATCAGGCTAACCATCAAACTTCAGGTCTGGTTAAAACACAGCATAACAACCTTTCCTTTTTTAGGGCCAGGCCTTTAATCCCTATATCCCTACTAACAGCCCTAGAGCACACAGGGGTTTCCATCCCCTCAACGCTGGGGACAAGCAGGAACATCCATAGCAAGATGGTGAGAGCCGAGCAAGGTACTGACACGGTCCTGTCTTAAACAGGCACCAAGCAAAGTTACTGCCACTGGATTACAACAGCTGATGTGGAAATAAATCCGCTTGCTCGGAGTACAAATGTTATACTTGAATTTTTCCCCACATTGATTTTCTTTAAAAGCTACAAACACTGGTGCTGAGCTCCAAGCCTCAAAGACGGCCATTCTGCATTTATGCCCAAGCAGACAGGAGCGGGGATTTCCGCACCTTTTCCTCAGACCTGCCCTTTAGACCCCAGTTGCATCTCTGCACGTTCCTCAGGGATTTTCTCCGAGTACGGCTTCCCCGTGACACAGCTCAGAGCGTTGCCGTCAGCCCCGTCGGGCTCTTTGCAGGGGCCCGCTGGCTGCGCGGGAAACCTCCTCCCTGCATCACACGATCACTGTGCTGCAGCTGCTCCCAAGGATGATTTTTGTCATCGCTTTCCCCGTCCTGGGAGCCTTCAAGGTGGCCTCCCAGATGGAAGCTGGGAGGCAGGGGAGCAGCTCCCGGGACCGCTCCTCCGAGGGGCGCCGCACCAGCAGGACACCCCAATCACACACCGTGAAGCAAGGGAGCAGGGGAGGGCACCAATGGGACATGACTTAATGTCACCAGTTCCCTTTGCTCTTGCAAATAGAGATCATTACCTGAGTCCCCCAGGGAACCAGGGCTCTCTCTGAGGAGGAAAGAAACAAGCCAAGCGAAAGAGGGAGGTCAGATCGCTGCCTTTGATTTCTCAGCCCACGAAAGCCTCTATCTCCTCCGTTTCCCACCCTCCTCCCATGCCAATCACCCCCACAGGCAGCATCTTACTCACGACAGCGAATTTCTTGTTTAAGGTCATCTGCTCCGCAAGAACCGACTGGTTGTGGAAGAGGTGAGGCTGCATGTGACTCCACATGTGTGGGAACCACCAGAACTCCTTCACATAGGACAGCAACAGGTCATCGCCCTCATCCTCAGCGTCGGTACCTGTGGGGTCAACCCCAATGTCACCCCAAGGCTGGCAGAGCCACAGAGGTAATGTTCATGCGCTGCACTGGCCTGCACAGCTTGCGCAGAGGGGTGGGCACAGCCATTGATGGCCTGGCTAAGCACTGCAAGGAGCTCTTTTATGGTCTGGAAAGACCCCTGGAAGCAAGTCACTTTGCGGAGACCTGGACAGCCAGCCTGGTACCTGCTGGGATGTGAGCAACAGGCTGCTCAGGAGAGAAGGATCCCTCAGTACATCAGCCCTTCTGCTGAGCTCAGGGCAGCCTCATGTCTCTTACCTTCCCTCCCATACTTGCAAAGAGAAGCAGCAATATTCACTCTGCCTCCTCTGGCTGCCACAGACCATAGGTGAGCCTGACTGCAAACCCTGAGAGCGCTGCCTGCTCTGTGGTCACACAGAGGCAGCCACCCTGTCTGTGAGCAGCGGGCAGAGCAGTGATGGTGTCAGTCATTAGGCACCCTGAAGAGTCAATTCACATCCCTCCACCAGCCGCTACAGCTACTGCTGACGGTTTGGGCAGGCATAAGACCAAGAGAATAGCAGGGCACAGACCCTTCCACGGCAATTCATCCCATCAGTGATGGGAGTTTGGCACCAGGAAGAGGCTTTCTGCCTGGGGACCCTCTTGCAGTCCCCCTGTTGGTCTCTCTGAGCTCCAGTTCCTGCACTGGGCATTGGCAGTAATGCACCAACAGCCCCAATGCCCCTGTTGCTCAGGGCCATACAGAAGCAATGCTGAGTATGGCAACAGAAACGCTCAACACCCTCCTTACCTGTGTGGAAGAATTTCCCTGAGTATCCCAGGTTGAAGGTGAAATTTGGGATGTGGGTGCGCAGCTCGTTCTGAGTGTCGAACAGCGCCTATGGCACAAGACGAGAACACGAGAACGACCTCAGTGAACACCAGGAGAGAGATTCTGTCCACAGGCCTCCAGCAAAGCACATTTCACCCCAGGGAAGGGGTTCCCACTGCCAGAGGATGCTCTGAGGGCAGGAGAACTCATGCCTGGAGTCAAGAGCACCTTGGACCATGCACCATTTCAGGACCATGCCACCCCTTGTCCCAACCCCATGCATCCTCTACCCATCGAGCCAGGACATAACAGCGGTACCTTGACATCTTCCACCTTCATGCGAGTGCCTTCCTTGCCCACAAAGATGTCATCAATGTCCACCAGGATGTAGCGGTCAAGGGGCAGGGACAGCCTCTTGCCCGTTAGGAAGGAAACAGAGTCTACAAAGACCAGTTTGTGCAGCCAGAAGTTGAGGTTGTTGCCAAAAAGCACCCTCTGGATGCCGTCGTGAAGACCCAGGTCCTGCATGACCGTGGTGTGCAGAGCTGCGTCCACGCTCATGTGTGGTATCGACTCTGCTGACTTGGTCTTGGCCAGGAGGACCGGCTCGTAGGTGGAGTGGTTGGACTGGAAGACGGTCCAGTCCTCCCCTGGGAGCACTCCCTTCTCCACCTCGCTGGGGCGCGTGATGTACAGGAGGGGCGACTTGGGGTTGATGCTGCAGTCCTTCAGTGCGAGGTTGGAGTGCAGGAAGAGGGGGAAGCCCTTCAGCTGAGCACTCAGCAGGCTGTTCTCGTTGGCCTGCAAGGGCAGAAGCAGAGTAAGTCAGGATCAGCGAGAGGGACAGATGCTCTGAACAAACAAGGGGAGCAATAAGAGGAAGGTGTTTGAAGACACACTGAGTGTTGTGCAGGTTTTCTAGTCACGCTTCCTGACTCATCTCTCACAGCTGTGCTCAGACAACCCCATCGCGTGGCCTGATCGCTCAGGACTACCACAGCCGAGGGATTCCCCAGAGTGGAGATAAATGTCCGCAGGGAGGGAAGGGCCAGCTCACCACCCCCTCGGTCAGAGCTGTTTCCCTGGTTCAGGTGTGCAACCCTCACTCATGCTCTGGAGTGCCAGGGTCCCTTCCCTCATCCCCTCCCAAATACGCCAACCTCCCCCACCTGCAGCCCTCTGCGAATCCTGCATTATTTATTCCTCCTGCAACAGCTTAACGCGGGAGCTCCCCTCAGCTCCATGGGCAGAACACAGAGGCACCAGCACTCCAGGTCTTTCCTAAAAACAACCATTCCAGATGCTCACTTTGGCCAGTGGTTCCTAAAAGCCTGCAGACTGTTTATGCATCCAGATGTGGCAGACATTCTTACTGACATGCAATGTGCCCGAGGGCGCCGCTGCCAGCGCAGCACTTGGGGCCGGCTATGGGACCGCGCTCCCTCCCCATCTGTTCCTGTGCTCCCTGCTCTGCTCCCAGGCCTAGACTGGAAATATCTATCTCATAAAATACAGATTTACGATCCTGTAGAGGGACAGCTCTGGGCTGAGCTTGTCCCCTTGTCAATGCCTGAAGCCACGTGGGCTCCCATCAGCAGCCCCATGTTTACACCCTGCCGGGGTTGGCCCCTCCACCGGCTGGAGCACTCGGCAAACTCCAGCGAGGGCCATGGCTGCAAAATGGGAAATTAAAAATCCCTGGGCTGAGCACAGGCGCCTGCCCCAGGGCCCCACTGGGGCACAGAGTCATGCATGGAGCACACGCTGTGGGGAGGAAATGGAGGGACCACATGGAAGAGAAGTGGTTCCAAGCACCACAGCGTCCAGCAGGGAGCAGTTCCCCCAGCAGCCCCAGTGCAGGGCCAAGGCCTCACCTCACAGGGAAGCGCGTGTTAAGGCATGGAGGCGCCCGGTGGCAAGGGCGAGGACGGGTGGACGGACACCCCCAGCTCCGGGGGCACAAACAACCTGGCACTGCCTCCTGCTGCCGCAGTGCCCATGCCACCTCCCGAGCGGTGCTTGAGCCGAGCCCCAACACGTGCGCGCACAGAACTCGCACCCTGAGGTCATTACAGCTTCCATCGGCCACCGCTGGTAGCACCTTCTTGCCCTATGCAGGCAGGACAGCAAGACACCCAAACCACCCTGTGCCCTACCTGGGCACCTAAGCCCTGCTCGTGCTTCCCTGTCTCCATGGGGGTGAGCTGGGCGTAGGAACAAGCCCCCACTGCCCAAGGGCAGGTACCCAAGGCCACGGGGGCACCGGTTCACCACCACGCCAGCATGGCCCCATACCTTGAAGAATCCGATGATGCCCACGCCGTACTCCACGCAGTACTTGTCCAGCAGCTCACGGTTCCAGGCGTCCAGGTTGACGTACTTGAGGATGTTTTCATAAATGATGAGGGCGAAGCGTCCCCGATCCTTGTCGGTGAGGGTGGGCATGTCCCCTTTCCCCGGGGCGATCTCTGTCCTGTATTTGAAGCGGCTCGACTCCAAAATGGCCACAATCTCTTGGCCCAGCTGAGAGTAGAGGCTTTCCACAAACACCAGCACCAGGGGGTCCGTGCGGGAGGAATCGGCCACCTTGAGGGCCTTCAGCGGGAGCAAGCGGGAGGGGGCAACCTTGGGCTCATCACAGTCTGGCCCTGGCACGTCCCCAGAGGGCTCCAAGCCCCTTTTCCACCCATATAAATAATACGCAGAGACAAAAACACTGAGCAAGCAAAAGGCAAAGAGCAGGAGCAACACAACCTGTGGAGATACCTGTCGGATACTCCTCCGGACCCTCGCCAGCACAGTCATCCTTGCATCCGCAGAGCAAATTCAGGCTCCTCTCCCTTGCCCACTCCCCTCCCCTTTCAAGCCCCAGGGGAGGGGAAGAAAAGAAAAAAAAGAGTAAAAGAAATTTGAATAATAATACTAATAATAACTTAAAATACTAGCAGGCCGCATGTGCAAGTTCTCTTCGTTCCGACAGTCCGGTGTCCCTCGCTGTCTGCTTCATGTCACCATGGCAAATCCATTGAGAGTCCCCTATCAGCGCCGAAATCCCTGCAGCAGCCGCAGCAGCATCCCAGGACGA